TTCTGGGCCGCTCGATCCCCCCTTGATGATTTGATCCTCTAGCCCCTGACCCACTGACCCGTTGACCGGTTGACCCGTTGACCCGTTGGCCGGTTGACCTTCTTCGGTGGGATAGGGACGTCGAGACCGAAGGGGGTAATCGGGATAGGGATAGATATTGTCGATGGATTGGGAGCGCGAGCATAACGGGGAATTTACGCCCGTCTGATTGTTTTCCAGATTTTTGTCATTTTCTTTTTTAACCCCGTTTGGAAGACTATGGCCTTGCGAAGGAAGAAGGGCCTCCCCGCACTACTCACGAAACGTGGAAAGTGGAAAGTGCGTCTTTACGTAAAAGGCGCCTAAATACACCCGCCATATTATGTTCTTCAACGTGGTGGTGTATCTTGCCACTTTTTATGTGAAGATGCACGCAAGATGAGGACGGGGGGGAAGGGAATTGGCGTTAGATGGCCAATGATAATTTTCCCCGAAGTAAAAAAAAACGAAGAACCTTCCCCAAAGTGCGATAGTTTCCGTTTGGAATTGATTGGATTTTTTATTTTTTTTCCCTTATTCTGTTTTCCTTCCGATTTTTTCTGTTTTTGTTTTCGATTGTGAAGCCAGCTGCCCCCGAAAAAAAAATTTCTAATCTTACCCTTTTTGGGTAACCCTAATTTTAAGCATCTTATCCGTTGCACGCCAATAGATGGGTTTGTCATCATGCGCGTCAGCGCACGGAGAGGACACTGCTGGACCCTTGTTTCCATTTATATTTTGATTTGTTGGATTTATTTATGATTTATTGTATTATTATTATTATTATTATTATTTATTTACAATTCATCGTCGCGCCTTTGAAGTATAATAATTAATGATCGAGGGCGAGATTCTGTTTGGGACATTTGCATATGTGGAGAACCATATACTCGACGGGATTTGGACCTTTTTTCGGCCAGATACATTCGGAAAATCCCTGGTATGAAAATGGTCTGATTTTTGTTCACAGCAGAGAACCATAATCATGGGCTGATCAAGGTTTAAGAGGAGTAAGGGGAGG